GTAAAGCAGGGGTGGGGAACATCCAGCCCGCAGACTGTATGAGGCCTGTGAAATCATTTGGTTTGGCCTTGCCAACACATTAAGAGTGACTTAATTAAATGTTTGACCAAATATAGCAGACTAATTTTTAAGTTCATAATTTAATATGGCTCAAGAATGATGTTATAAATATTCAAATGGCCCTTGGCAGAAAATAGCTTCCCCACCCCTGGTCTAGAGGTAGTCAAGAAACAAATTATACTTCCAACAACTTTCTGTGTTTTATGATTACTAATGGCACAGGATTTTAAGATAGTGCTAGTTAAATTACAGTATCACTTCACTCTTATTTTATTGAGAGACTGTGTTCTGGAGAAAGTTGTATGCTTTACTAAAACAATATTCAATTTATACTAGGGAGGTATGAAACAAGAGTACAAAAGGATGATTTTTATCATGAGGAAGAAAATTAAATTGCTTTCTCTGTTAATCCATATTCTATAAATATACTGTTTAATACTCTTTATATTTTTCATTATAGTGTATGATATGTCATTAAAATAGGATTGGTGCCAGCATATTTCAATTCTTAAAAATGTTATTTCTGAGGACATTTGAATGGGAAGTAGTTTAACACAGGAGGGACTCTTAATAGATTAAAATCCTATCTAATAAAAGAGTAATATGCAAATTAACCATCACTCCAACATACAAGGTGGCTGCCCCCATTTGGACACAAGATGGCCACTCAGATGACTGGCAGGGGAGGGCAGTTGTGGGTAATCAGGCCAGGAGGGAAGGCAGTTGGGGGGTGAGGTGGGACTCAGTCCTACAGGAGAGTACAGTTGGAATGGACCAGGCCTACAAGGGAGGGAAGTTGGGGGCAACCAGGGTGGCAGGGGAGGGCAGTTGGGGGGCACCAGACAGGCAGGGGAGGGCAGTTGGGGGCAACCAGGCAGGCAGGAGAAGGCAGTTGGGGGCAACCAGGCCAGCAGGGGAGGGTCATGGGGGGTACCAGGCCTGCAGGGGAGGGCAGTTGGGGGTGACCAGGCCAGCAGAGGAGGGTTGTGGGGGATACCAGGCCTTCAGGGGAGGTCAGTTGGGAGAGACCAGGCCTATAGGCGAGGGAAGTTGGGGGCGACCAGGCCTGCAGGAGAGGCCACTTAGGGGTGACTAGGGCAGTTGTGGGTAATCAGGTCAGCAGGGATGGGAGTTAGGGGCAATTGGGCCAGCATAGGAGAAGTTATGTGTTGATCAGGGTGGCAGGGGAGTGGTTAGGGGTTATCAAGCTGGCAGGCAGAAGCAGTTAGGGGCAATCAGGCAGGCAAGCAGTTGAGTGGTTGGGAGCCAGTAGCCCTAAATTGTGAGAGGGATGTCTGACATTGGAGAGGGTGCAGGCTGGGCTGAAGGACACGCACACCCTGTGCATGAATTTTGTGCACTTGGCCTCTAGTTCATTATAACATGGCAGGACTCATACATTTCCACTCCAGACTACATTGTATGCTATCCAAATGGTAAATTATTTTATGATTCCTACTTAGTGTTTCTCTGCTGTGGCTAAGGCACCTACATTATTCAAAATCACAAGAACTAAAACCAGGGTTTTAATGCTACATTTACAGCAAGTGGAAAATTACAGTGAACTTACACAAGTTCAGCATTGCCCTTTATATGCAGACCAAATAACATTAAACAGAGCAGATTCCACCAGATATTGCAGGTTCATCAGATCTGAGAATAAAAACAAGCATGAGACAGTTATCTCTTTCATCCCACCTCACCCCCAGTTCTCAGGAAGCTCCAAACTCCACCCTGCTGGGCCTGAGGAGATTTTGCCCTTTTGAAAATCCTCTGGAGTATACATGATGCAGTTCTCAGGCCCTTATTTCATCATCTAATAATGCTCTATCTCTGCTACCTACACATCAATTTTTATTCATATTCTCCAATTAAATTGAGATATAGAGGTTATTTAGGTCTATTTCAAAGAGATCTCAGAGAAAATGTATTGGGAAAGCACTTAGAGAATCTGTAAATGCCATTCAGATAAAGGGAATTCATAAAAATACCATACCTGAACATTTAGATTATGCTCATTCATTCCTTTTGGTTTCTGGAATGCTGTGACCTGCCAGAGAAGAAAGTTGAAAACAATTCAGAATTAAGGAAGCACTAGTTCATTTTTGTTTTTAAGTTAATCAGTGACCATTGTTAATTGCGAGGAACAGTTTATATTGGCAGTGCATGAAACATCCTGCAAACTCACTGACCCTCTACCTCTTTTCCTTTTACTCTTCCACCTTTCCATATGCGGAATGATCTGAAAACTGGCATAAAAAGTAGCTCTTTTTACTGTACCATTTCTTGCTTGTATAAAAAATGAACCAACCTTATGAATATTAAAATAAAGGTTGTACATTGCAGTGTGTATATGAATTTGACAATTTCTGTAATTCAAATTGGTACATTATAAGGTTCAAGTATTGTAGAGACTGCAATGAGCCTGTAGTTACAACAGAAGGTGAGCATAAGTGTGAAGCAGAATAAACTCTACTTTTAAAAGGTGTATTCAATTTCAGTTTACATTTTGCAAAATTGATATGGGAAATTTAGTGCTCTTATCAGTGTCAGACCTTATATATTACAGTTACAAACAAAGTCAGTACTTGAGGCACAATGTATTATATATAGCTACCATTCTAGTAAAAGCAATCTTTATTGATTTCCAGGAACCATTTGAAAATTTATCTGCTATAATTACTGACTCTTGGCATTTGAAGGTCCTGTACAATGAATTGTTCTAATGCCCTTTCTTTGGGAAGATGGGTAAAAAGCTAAGCTAGTCAGCACTGATACTTAGTGTCTTTTTCCAGCTTGCCCTAGATAGATTCCCACAACCTCTGTTAGTCCCATGCCAGGATAGAATTCCAGAAGTTATCTTTTATATATAGCCTCAATCTCTCCTACTTTAATGTGTTACCTTCAGTTGATTTTGTACAGATTTGAAAGGAAATACTCAACTAAATAATCCCTAATATGCAAATCAACTGAACAGTGGAATGACCAGTTGCTATGACGTGCACTGAATACCAGGGGGCAGACGCTCAATGCTGGAGCTGCTCCCAGTGGTCATTGAGCTCCCACAGTTGGAGTGCCACTCAGCCAGAAGCTGGCTTACAGCTGATGAGCACAGCAGCGGTGGTAGGAACCTCTCCCTCCTTCACAGCAGTGCTAATGAGCAGCAAGCCAGTTATTAAGGAGCAAGCAGGCAGGCAGTTTGGAGCGAGGGGTCTCAGATTTCAAGAGAGCTTAGGCTGGGCTGAGGGACAACCTTCCTGCATGAATCTCGGGCATTGGGCCTCTAGTTATTTAATAAGCTTAAATAAAAATGGTAAAGCAAGAGGTCTTATCTATCTATATTTTGGAGATGACTCTTATTTTTTCAAACTAAAGTATGTTCCCTGTATTATCCATATAAAGTACAAAAATTATATCCAGAGTACAAATAAACATAGACATTTGGAACTGTAAAATGATTGTTTATAGGTAGAGATGAACTTTAAATAGATTATTGAAAGGGAGGAAAGTCTTTGTGGCTGTATACTTTTAAAACATTTTAGGTTGAGGGATTATCATTTAAAAAAATATTTGAAACATATAAGTGGATGCTGGTTCTATCATATTTCCTGTGACTTAAATACACTGAGTGGCCAGATTATTATGATCTCTGAACGCATTATAATCTGGCCACTCAGTGTATATCCTATATAATAAAAGGCTAATAGTTCTACCGTTGACAGGCCGGCCAACTGCCCATGTCCCCTCTCCCTGGCCAGGCTGTCCAGACCCCACCCATGCACGAATTCATGCACTGGGCCTCTAATCTATCTATCTATCTATCTATCTATCTATCTATCTATCTATCTATCTATCTATCTATACTGAGTGGCCAGATTATTATGTGTTCAGAGATCATAATAATTTGGCTACTCAGTGTATATTGTTGTCTCAAACATGATAAAATAAGTATCATCAAAGGAGACTGTCCCAAATTTATATAAGAAGATATATTATCCCGGATTAAGAAAACAGTGTAGCCTCAGTGAAATATAAGGTTGAGGTAAAATGAAGTTCAACCTTAGAACTTATAGTTTCTGCAGATCTGATTTTTTTAAATATAAAAGGGACATTAAAGATATAATTTGTGAAATGTGACTTTTTGACAGTAGGCCCTGAAAGATGACAAAAGAATGTCTTTGCTGGAAAGCCAAGGAACTTACCAAATTTCTTTGTAAAAAGAGTTGAACATTCCATTAGTATTTCTGTATTCTTACAAGTAATTATTTTGTGTTTAGAAGTAATTTGTATCCTGTTTTCTGCTGTCTGGTAAGGGTAATGTCAAGGTTATCATCAGTAGTTGTGTAAAAATTATATATTTCAGTCTGACCTTTCCGAAGTGTGTTGCTCTGATGGTGATGGTTGAGATTCTGTGGATGAAAGAAAAATTACTGGAAATAAAAAATATTGTTTCACTGGATACTTTATTTAATTTAAACATTTTAGAATTACAGTGTTGACCTGAGAACAGTTGACTCAAGCAACATTTTTAAAAATATATATTTTATTGATTCTTTACATAGAGGAAGGGAGAGAGATAGAGAGCCAGAAACGTTGATGAGAGAGAAACATCGACCAGCTGCCTCCTGCACACCTCCCACTGGGGATGTGCCCGCAACCAATCTACATGCCCTTGACCAGAATCGAACCCGGGACCTTTCAGTCTGCAGACCAACGCCCTACCACTGAGCCAAACCGGCTTCGGCTCAAGCAACATTTTTACTAAATCAGCAACTAAGAGCTTAGTGGAGTTATTCCTAGCAAGGGTTTTTCCTCTCTATTACTGTTTCTTTCTCTCTAGATCAGAGTCAAACATGCTTAGATGAGTATTTTGAGCTCTGTAGAAGCATGGAGAAATGTGATAAAGAAAACTCATCTTCTCCCCTCTTTCTCTTGGTCAGTGTGCTGGAGAAGAGAAACGAGTTGGTACACGCACGGTGTTTGTTGGCAATCATCCAATTTCAGTAACAGAAGATTACATTGCACAAAGGTTTTGTGATAATAGAATAGTCTCATCTAAGGTAAGTTTTTAAGTTTTCTACATGTTCATATAGTGAGCCAGATAATGCACTTATTTTTATTCATGCTTCTATGTATACACATTGGTGTGCAGTTATACCAATCATATATGAACTGTGATAATTATTTCACAAAAAGGCACTTTGTCTTGTTATAGCTGAAACATCATTCACTAGTATATTCAGAGTGTTCTAAGGCCAATAGATAATAAGACAACACAGTTTCACTCATTCTTTCTATATTTTACATGTTAATCTAGCTACCAAGGATAAATCACATATACATTTGAAAACTAAAATGTTAAATTTTTCCAGGGCATAATTTTGTGTTTCAGATTTGTGTTTCACTTGTGATTCATAGTGCCTGTTGATTATACATATTACTTTAAGCCTTAAAGTATTCTAAAAGTAGGAATTATTTACTTGCCCAAAGCTTCCTGAATTGCCCTTCATTGTATGGACTAGTTTGTAAATAATTTACATTCTTTTGAGGGTGCTATCCTAGAATGGCATCCTTATTTCTTTCTATTTTCACTGAGGAGTTTCCCCTGCTCAGTACAATGCTTAAACAGTTAAGATCACTGTAGCTGTGTCACCATTTAAATAATCATTTTACTTCAGCATAGTTTAATGTTATGGGCAGGGGCCTGGAAGTCTAAAGACCTGAGTTTAAATACTGGCCTGGCTATTTTCTAGTGTTTGACTTTGGCCAATTTAATCTCTATGTCTGAATGTTCTCATCAGTGAAATAGACCTGATATTCAATATGTGAAAGCACTCTTTATAGTTCCTTATATCCATAGTTATCTTTCTACAAGTATTAGTTTACTAATCTTTATCTTTGGTTGACCAGATTAGATGCTAGGTGCTAGATGGTCAGCCCATGACCATCTCTTATGGCACAGATTTTGATAATTTTCTTCACTTTCTCATGCAGTCTGACAAGACATATCTAAAATGTTGGTGACAATTGGTTCACTGCATGTTTGCAAACACCTAGGACCTGAAACACAAAATTATGCCCTTGAAAAATTTAACATTTTAGTTTTCAAATGTACATGTGATTTATCCTTGGGTAGCTAGAAGATTAACATGTAAAATATAGATAGAATGTGTTGTCTTATGTTCTATTGGCCTTAGAACACTCTGAGTATACTAGTATTTGCATAAAAGTTCTTTCTTGATAATTTTTATCTTTAGCCAGTAATTTATATTTAGCCAGTAATTTCCATACATGCAACAAAAATAGTGAAAAGTCCTTTCACTGAAAATTGTCACTTACCCAAGAAAACAATCAATAATAGTCCTTTGAGTCACAATCATAGACTTGTAAAACTAACTGAAAGAGCCTAAGAGGTCATCTTGTTCAACTCACTGACTTTACAGATGGAGAAATCAAACTCAGAGAAACTGAGCTAATGACATGGTCACCAAGCAGAGTTAGTGATAAAGCCCTTTTCATATCATTTTGCTATTTGGGTTCTTTTCTTAGTTTTATCTCTCATTTTGCATCAAGTGGAATATAAAATATTTCCTAGGGAATTATTGTTTTCCATAGTGTTTTATGTGAAAGATGGTTAAGTGACTTTTCATTGAACTAGTGATAATCATTTTGATGCAATATACTTTGCATTTTTGTATTTTAAAATTCATTAAAATTCTCAACTCTTGTTGTATTTTTAATAGGATATCTTTCATATTTCATATAGCCTCAGTTTTGCAAGCAGATAAAATAATGCAATAGGATATTTTAAAAAATATTCAGGAGCTCACAGGGCAAATAAAGATTGAGTCTAAACAGACTTGCTCCTATATGTATGTATATATATTTTAGAAACTAGATTAAAAATTGAGCACTGATAGACTAACAGATCTTTTTATTCTGTAAATATTATGTTACAGTTTTTCTAGTTAACTGTATATTAACTGATCTTTTTCATAAAACCTCTAGAGCAGAAAAAGAGGAAATGACAGTATACTAACCTCAGAAAAAGAATGAAATCTTAATATAATTAATAATTATAAGAGGATACTATATAGTGTATAGTGGTAAAGAGCTGCATCCTTGTAGAAGAAAACCTGGGTTTAAAATTAAAATAAGTAATTTAACCTCTCTATGTCTAAATTTCTTATCTTAAAAATGGGGATATTAACAGGACTTACCTCATAGGATTGTGCTGAGGAATAAATAAAGTAATCCATACAAAGTATTTAAGCACTGTGCTTGGCTTGTATTAACAACTCAATAAATGGTAGCTGCTGTTGTTACTTATATTTCTGTGATTATTATTATTATTACTAGAGGCCCTGTGCATGAAATTTGTGCATGGGAGGGGGTCCCTTCAGCCCAGCCTGCACCCTCTCCAATCCAGGACCTCTTGGGGGATGTCCAACTGCTGGTTTAGGCCCGATTCCTGGGATAGGACTAAACCAGCAGTCAGACACATCACTCTCACAATCCTGGACCACTGGCTCCTAATCACTCACCTGTCTGCCTGCCTGGTCACACCTAACTTCTCCCCTCTGCCAACCTGGTTGCCCCTTACTGCCTCTGCATACGAGCCTCATTGCCCCTTATTGCCCTCCTGCCAGCCTAGTCACCCCTAACTGCCCCTTGGTGCCGACCAGGTCGCTCCCAACTGCCCCCTTCTGCCAGCCTGGTTGCCCCTAACTGCTCCCCTTGCCTGCCTAGTCACCCCCACCTCCCCCATTGCCAGCCTAATCACCCTCAACTTCCCCCCTGCCAACCTAGTTGTCTCTAACTTATCCTCACCCCACCAGCCTGATTGCCTCTTATTACCCCCCCTTCTGGTCTGGTTGCCCCCAGCTACCCCCCTCTGCCAGCCTGGTTGCCCTTCACTGTCCCCCCTACCAGCCTTGTTGCCCCTAACTTCCCACTCCTGCTGGCTTGGTCACCCCCAGATGCCCCCTCTCCCCCACCAGTCTGGTCACCCACAACTGCCCCCGCCAGCCTGGTTGCCCCACGCAGCCTGCTGTTCAATCATTTGGTCGTCCCTCACTAACCCCCCTGCCGGCCTGGTCGCCACATACAGCCTGCTTGTTCAGTCGTTTGATCATACCCCACTAATGCCCCTGTCACTCTGGTCACCCCACACAGCCTGCTTTTTCAGTTGTTTGGTCATCTCTCACTAACCTCGTTGCAGGCCTGGTTGCTCCACACAGCCTGGTTGTTCAGTTGTTTGGTCGTTCCTCACTAACCCCCCTGCAGGCCTGTTCATAGGCAGCCATCTTGTGAGGGCATGATGGTTACTTTGCATATACCCTCTGTATTGTAAAGGATGGTCCTTAATAGTACTATTGATTTCCTCAGTCTCATGTGTGTGTTTGTTTTTGTTTTGGTGGGTTTTTTTTTTTTTTTTGAACTTTTATTTTATTTATTTATTTATTTATTTATTTATTTACTTATTTATTTATTTATTTATAAATAAATTTTTATTGTTCAGATTATTACAGTTGTTCCTTTTTTCCCCTCCATAGCTCTCCTACACCCCATTCCCACCCCACCCTCTGCCCTTACCCACCCACTGTCCTCATTCATAGGTATATTATTTTTCTCCAGTCTATTCTGTCACCCCCACACCACACTCCATTCCCCCAAGAATTGTAAGTCCACTCCATTTCTATGCCCCAGATTCTATTATATCCACCAGTTTATTCTGTTCATCAGATGTTTTCTTCACTTGATTTTTAGATTCACTGGATGATAGATATGTATTTGTTGTCACTTTGTTGTTCACAACTTTTATCTTTACCTTTTACTTCTTCTTCCTCTTTTTAAAGAATACCCTTCATCATTTCATATAATACTGGTTTGGCAGGGATGAAATCCTTTAGCTTTATCTTGTCTGTGAAGCTCGTTATCTGACCTTCAATTCTAAATGATTGCTTTCCTGAGTAGAGTAATCTTGGTTGCAGGTTCTTGCTATTCATCACTTTGAATATTTCTTACCATTCCCTTCTGGGCTGCATAGTTTCTGTTGAGAAATCACCTGACAATCATATGGGTGCTCCCTTGTAGGTAACTAACTTTTTTTTTTCTTGCTGCTTTTAATATTCCCTCTTTGTCTTTTGCTCTGGGCATTTTAATTATGATGTGTCTTTGTGTGGACCTATTTGTATTCCTCTTCTTTGGGCTTCTCTGCACTTCCTGGACTTGTAAGTCTATTTCTTTCTCCAGGTGGGGGAGGTTTTCAGTCATTATTTCTTCAAATAGGTTTTCAGTAACTTGCTCCCTCTCTTCTTCTGGCACCCTCATAATTCTGATATTGGTACACATGAAGTTGTCCCAGAAGCTTTTTACACCATCTTCAAATCTTTGGATTCTTTTTTCTTTTTGTTTTCCTGATTGTTTTTGTTTTGTTTTGTTTTTCTTTGCTTCTTTGAATTTCAAATCTTTGACTTGATTCTTGCATTCCTCTAGTCTGCTGTTGACTTTCTGTATAATTTTTTTTTATTTCAGTCAGAGTATGTTTAATTTCTAGTTGGTCCTTTTTCATATCCTCTAGGGTCTCGTTAAATTTATTGGCCTTTTCTAGGAAATTCTTGAAAACCTTATAACTGTGGTTTTAAACTCTATATTCAGTGATTTGTTTTCCTTCATTTCTTTCGTTTCTATTTCTTTGTCTTCACATTTTCGCTGCTTCCCTGAATTGGTAGGGTGGCTTTGTGTGCTAGGTGTCTTATAGGGGCCAGTGGGTTGGCCTCCCAGTTACCTGAGGTGGATACTCTTGGGTTGGCCTCCCAGTTACCTGAAGTGGACACCCAGTTACCTTTGTGGACTGTGTGTACAGCCTTGTTGTAATTAAGTCTTGATTGTTGTTGGTGTCACTGGGAGGAATCGACCTCCAGGCCAACTGGCTGTGAGGACCTGGTGTGTCTATAATGGAAGAACTGCCATGCTTATGGGACAGGGCTTATTTCACTGGGGCTTTGGTGCTCATTGATTCTGCCTCTTGAATGTGTCACTTATGGATGTAAGTAGTTGAAATCTGTGTCATTTCACACTGATCACTAGATACACTACCTTCTGAATCTCCAGTGGGGTGCAGGTCAGCTACTGTCTGAGGCCACCCCTCAGGAGCTATAGTGAGAACTACAGTTTTCTCCTCTTTGCTTGGGGTTTGGAGATTTTGGAGCTGCCTGACCAGAGCTGTAGTTTGTTAGGTTAAGCTGCAATAGGGCAGGCCATTTATATGCAAAAACTGCTTGGAGTTTAGGTGGGTTTGTAGATTGTGTGGGCGGGGTCTCAGGGATTCTCTAGCCTAGGGTGTGGTAAACAGTGATGGCTGCCATTAAGCTGTCTCTGCTTCTCTGCGTTTCCAAGTCCCCGAGTCCTGCGCCCCAGTGCAGTAAACAATGATTGCTGTGCGCATCTCTGCAAGAAAGTACCATCACTTTCCGATCTGATGGCCGTCAGTCCAGCTTCTCCGTGCAAGAGTTTGGGTCCCCCGTGTCTCCCCAGAAACTGGAGTTCAGAGTAATCGGGAACTTGTCTCCCTTCGGGTTGAAAAAAGCAGGGCACCCAATCACCTGCCCCCAGCCAGATTCAGGTGCCTCTGTACCTCAGCTTTTCAGCACTTGTGCTCAACTCAATGCTCTTTTCTCTTTCCTTCTAGTTATAGAACTTCCACTCAAACAGCTTTTCTGTGGTTCTGGGTGATAGACATTTTGTCTTTTAGTTGTAGTTTTGAAATTGTTGTGCAAGGCAGCAGTTTATGTGTTTACCTATGCCACCATCTTGGTTTCTCCTCCACATCTGCTGCACTTTTTATATTTTTTAAAATTCTAATTTACATTCAGTATTATTTTGTATTAGTTTTAGGTGTACAGCATAGAGGTTAGACAATCATATATTTTACAAAGTGTTCCCTCTGATGTTTCCAGTATCCACCTAGCACCATACATCATTAGCATAATGCCCCCTAAGTCCATCTGTGTAGTTATAGCTCATAATAGCTCATAAAGTGAAATAGGGAAGAAGAGGGCATATAGTAGTAGTTTCCTGTAAAGGGAATAATCTGAGTTACTCAATGAAACTGTTCTTTAGGAAGGTAGAAAAATGGTAAAAGAACCAAGTCACCCTAGGAAAAATAATGTTTCCTTTTATGTGTTAAGAACCATTAGAGGACTCTCACAGTTCCTGATGTTTGTTTGTTCAATTAAAAAAAACTTTAGTTAGGGAAGAAAATGTCAGCAAGCCAAAAGTTCAGCTGTTAGTCTGTTGTTGAAACAGTTAAGTGCTGATTCAGACTACATCAGCTTCAAAGTGACTGGGTCAGTGTTTTTAAAATTAAATTTATTGGGGTGACATGGGTTAATAGGGTCACCTAGGTTCCAGGTGTAGATTTTTGTATTAAAAGATGTATATATTGCACTGTGTACCCACCACCCAAAGTCAAATCATTTTTTGTCATTAGACCCCTTTTATCCCTACCCTCTGTGACAATCCCCACACTGTTGTTTGTGTCCATGATTTTCAGTTTTATATCCTACATATGAGTGAACTCATGTGATTCTTAGCCTCTGTCGATACCTGCAATAGAGATATCCATGGAGATGGTGGTCTTCCTCAAGGTATAGCCTAATTGCCTGGCCCACTCAAAATCTTCCCAGATCTTCATCCAGATGCCTTCTTCATCTCCCTGAAGAAAACATAATGATAGAGAGATACTTTGGTGAAGTGGCTCTAGCCACTCATGTATATATTTGCAGAGCTATGCTGGCTATAGTTGTCCAGAAAGATCCGCTTCCCTAGGCCAGGAAATAAATTTTATAGACAGAGAAAGTATTTTGTGCTCAAATAAACTTTAATTACATACAAAAAGTTAATCAGTAGTTTTGATCCCTTTTATTTTTGGTCACAAGCTGCCTTGGGTATCTGGTGAAAATGTGGACTCTTCTCCCAACCGATGTTCATGCACACACAATTCTGCACTCAATTTTGAATGGGCTTCCTTTAGGCACTTCTGAAACTTGGGGAAAGAACCTTATAGGTTGTGTTAGTTATAATGGAGCTGCATCACTGAATATGTTTACCTCCATTCATCTTCATTTTCTTGGTATTCCCTTGGGGAATCGAACCCATATGTGTTTTAAAGAGGGGTTAGTAGTAAATCCCCATGTTCTGTAACTTTGGCTTTTCATTCACCTCACTTAATTTAATAGATATTTTCTCACATTAATCTAAATTTATATATTTAGCTTAAGAAACATTTCTTTCTTACTTGTTTCTGCTCTTCTTTTATTCAAGTACCTAGAAAGTTCAACTTCCTCTGGTGATTTTTAACTGATTCAGTCTTTGTGCTTAAGGTATCAGTGAAAAAGTCTATGTGATTTGACAATTGGCCCAAGAGGTCTCTCCTTCTGCCTATGCACAGTTTTGCATTAAAATCTTTATTACCAATTACAAAATCCCAGGGTGGTATGTTGTTAATTATAATAAAAGTTCTCTGTTACCCAGGGTTATGTGTACACCTCAGCTGTCATGGATCTGGGAGGTACTGGTTGGGACAGTTATATCTGTGATTGTGATCAAGACTCCAGAGGTTAGCAGAGCCAGAGGAATTAATTTGGGCACTCATTCATCCAACTAATTTATTGAGTGTCCACTTAGTGTCATTGCTTATTAAGGGAGAAATTTTAGTAAAAGTGCATGCATATATTATTCATTGCAACATGTGTTATCAAGGAAGTGTTGGATGACATGAGAGCACATAACAAGGAACCTAATTTAAATCAGGTCAGAGAAGGCAGAGGTCTGGGACTAGATGGTCCAATTGTAATGGGCAATGTGAAACTTTATTACTCAAAAGTGTTTATTTACTGTATCTCTAAGTATATGCTTATTTGTATATATGAGGTTTAGGTGTGTTTTAAAAAATATTTTTATTGATTTTAGAGAGAGGAAGGGAGAAGGATAAATAGAAAAGTTCATTGACTGCCTCCTGCACGCCCCCTACTAGGGATCAAGCCCATAGCCTGGGCGGATGCTATGATCAGCGATGCTCACTGGCTGTGCATTGGGTTTTAACATGCTTTCAAAGTGTAGTGATAACCTGCACCCATATGAGTCATTGCTAAGATGTTTAAAGTTTGCTTTCTGATCATATATTTCTTTCTTTCTTCTTTACAGTATACACTTTGGAATTTTCTCCCAAAGAATCTGTTTGAACAGTTTAGAAGAATTGCAAATTTTTATTTTCTCATAATTTTCCTTGTACAGGTAAGAACACCATAAACTGCCATTTCACTTTTAGAAACTTAATTACTTCAAACAAATTTTCACTCTACTTCTAATCTTAAAATGACCTGTGATTAAAAAAGATGTTTCAGGGCTTATTATAATATTTCTGAAAGTACCGATATTACATTTTAAGGTTTATATTATTTTATTTATTTCTAAAGGAGCACTTTTCCCTGAAAATTTGTTGCAGCTGTTATTTTTTTTTTTTAACTTTTATGGATTTCATATTTTTGTTAACACTTGAAGCACATGTATTATATACCATTAAATGCATTGGTATATATCAAAATTGAAAATAGTTTAGGTTAATAGTTTACTTTATTAAACACTAGTTTCAGCCTAATTGAAAGTGTGTCACTTATCTTCCTGATTATCAGTTATGCTCTTCATTCATTTACTTTAAGGGTGAAAGCCTAGTATTTAGACATTTTAAGTTGCATCTTCATTTTAAATCTATTAGCTATTAAAATATTTCCCTTGCCAAAATCAACTACTGAAAATTTTACTATATTAAAGGTACTTTCTCCCCTCATTTCATTTTTTAAAACAAAGCAGAAACATTCCAATGAAATTGCTGAAATGCCTTATTGGTATTAAGTGCTTCTGTTTATCCAGTTTAAGTTTTTGAATAAATGGTAATGTAATTTAATTTGGCCCTGCTACTTAAAACCAATGTGGTTTGTGATATGGGAAAGAGCTAATTTCAATTTTGAATGATGGGGCATTTACCTACATCCATGGTAAGATGTCTTACAGAAGAGCATAAAATAAACTACATAGAAGATTGTGAACATGCATCTTTTCACTTGGCTTATAGCGCATCTCAGTTCAATTTAGTGAACATATAGCAAGCACCTCTTATGTGCCAGACAACAAAAATTTTAACAGGTGTAATGAAGATACAGCTTTTCTATCCTTAAGGAATTTATGTATAGCCAAAACTAGTCATGTATTCACTTAATTTAATATAGTAAAAGTCATAAAAGAAGCATTAGCAAAATATTATAGGGATATGGTAGAAGTTATGGGGTTTTTTTCTACCTAAGAGGAACTTGAAAAGGCTTCAAAGAGTATGTGATGTCTGAACCGAGCCTTGAAGGATTAGAGACTGGTATCAGTTTGTGTGAAGGCACAGAGCCATGTAAAAGCCAGCTTCTGCAACACAGTGTTTGTGGCAGGGACAGGTCTGCGTGGGGGTTAGAAATGCAAGTCAATGAATTGTGAGGGCAGATGGAACTCATGGTTCTCTGTTACTCAAATCTAGTTCTCGTTCTCTTTCAATGTTGCTTATTTCAGTGAATGACAACATCCACCAGCCATATTAACCAGATACGTGGAAGACCTCTTTACCCCTTATAAGAAATCCCTTATCAGTCCTGCCATTTTTGCCTCCTAAATATCTCTGGAACATCTTTCCATGTCTGCTGCTACTCGCCTCATCCAATCCATGATCTTTTATCTGGATTAGAACTGTAGCCTCCTAAATGGAATCCCTGCCTCCACTCTTCTTCCCTTCCATTTTATGTTCCACAATGCAATGAAAATCTTTTCAAAATGTAGTTCTCTTTACTCGAACTCTCCCTGGTTAAAAGCTTCAATTATTTCCCACTGTTTGTAGTATGAAGAATGAATTCTAGCACAGAGGGCCCTGCTTGGTCTGGCCTGTCTCCCTTTGTAGTCCTTGTTTCACACCACATGCTTTTGTTACTGGCTTTCTTTATTTCCTTACCTGTGTAACAGTCTCTCCTGCCATAGAGGCTTTGTATACACTGTTTACTGTTCCTGAAAAAGCACCCCTCTCTCATCTAGTTAACTTCTGTTTACTCTTCAGGTTTCAAGATATTTATTTAATGCCTGGTTTTCCCTGTAAGCTGCCAGCTGTATGTGGTCAGGGACTTTTCTCCATATGTTTAAAGCAGCATCTCTAGAGCCTGGCTGATAATAGTGCAGGGGGCTGACAGAATAGTGCTCAACAAATAGATGGTAAATGAATGGATGTATTTCAGTAGAGGGATTAGTTCATTCAACCTGTGATGAAAACTAAACCTGATTTAAAAGTATTTTCTTAAACTAACTGCTGTGTGGATTGCTTTTGTTTTAATGAAAGTTAACATTCACCCTGCTACCAGAATAAGTTTTGTCTGCATTCTGTCTGAAAATTTTGCAGCATGTACAGATTGCATATAAGTTATTGACTATTTTTATTTTACTTTCAATTTCATTTCTTTACTTAGGTCACAGTAGATACACCAACTAGCCCAGTTACAAGTGGACTTCCACTTTTCTTTGTTATAACTGTTACAGCCATCAAGCAGGTAAATTTCTTCTTTACAATTATGTCTGTATTTTATTTTTGTCTAGTTTGAATTTCTTTATCAAAGTTTCTCTTTCATATTTATACTAGAGGCCCAGTGCATGAAAATTCATTCACTCGGGGGGTCCCTCAGCTGGGCCTGCACCCTTTCACAATCCGGGACGCCTCAGCTAGGGTTCCTAGGCCTGGCATGAGATCAGAGCCTATCAGGACTTTCCTTCCATGAGCTACAGGCAGCTGGTCCCACCCCTGCTGCTGCCACTGCTTGCCATCTGTGCAGCGCTGCCCCCCTCTCTTGCCACCAGTGGCCTCCCTCTGCAGACGACAGGCTGGGATGCAATGGCTTGGTTGGCTTGGGCCTCCCTTTTTCTTTGTTGGGGGGTAGGGTCAGCCCTACGAGGGGCCATCTGCCTACCTGATCACCCCTAACTGCTCGCCTACTTACCTGATCAACTCTAACCGCTGGTCTGCCTACCTGATCACCCTGAACTGCTGGTCTGCCTACCTAAATACCCTTAACTGTTGGTCTGCCTATCTGATCATCCCTACCCCTCTGTCTGCCTGCCTGATTGCCTCTTACCACTTGCTTGGGGTCAGGGCCAACCAGCAAGGGACTGTTTGCCTTCCTGATATTCCCTAACTGCTGGTCTGCTAGCTGATCACCCCTAACCACTCTGCCTTCTGGCCTGATTGCCCCTAACCACTTGCTTGGAGGCAGGGCCAGCTCCGTGAGGGGCTTTCTGTCTACCTGATCTCCCCTAACCACTTTCCTGCCTATTAGATCACCCCTAACCACTGGCCTGCCTACCTGATCTCCTCTAACCTCTGCCTGCCTACCTGATCACCCCTAACCACTTACCTGCATACCTGTTCACCCTTAACTGCTGGTCTGCCTACCTGATCACTCATAATCACTCTGCCTGCCTGATTGCCCCTTACTGCTTGCTTGGGGGCGAGGCCAGCACTGACTTCCAGTTGGTCAGCCGCCATTCATTACTAGTCATTATGACCCAGGGTTTTATATATTAGGAAAAAGTGGACACTATATCTGATGGGTTTAATTTATATTTGGTTCTTATTGAAAATCTCCTAAAATGATCATAAAGTACATCCTTAATATTCATGCTCCTTCCTCAATATTTTTGTGTGGTAATATAACCCAAGTCAAGAAGTGGGAGGCAAAGTTTTAATGTGCATTAATTTTTTTCATTGTCTATTTGAAACTTTTCTAATCTAGTGGACTTTTTTGTTTGCCTATAGTAGATAACACAAGAGCATAAATACTTTAATTTTGTTGTCTTTCCTGATGGTGCTAAAGAGGGTGGTAGGTAGAGGAGACTTTTGTGTCTTGTCAAAGCTGACAATTGCCATGGTTTGTAATGCTAATGTTGATACTGGACTAAAGGAGTCCATTTGCCTGTATTGTCAAAGCCCAATAAAATAGAAACAGGAGCTTGCAGGGAAAAAAAAAAAAAAAGCAAAGGTTTATTTTTAGTAAGTGGCCTGCCAGGGGAAGTCATAGGTTAGCTAAGGCTCAAAGACCTGGCTCCCCAATGGCTTCCAGAGGATGGGTTTTATAGGGACAAAATCATCAATCATGGTGATAAAGGAAGTTAGTGTTGTGGTATATTATACAAACACAGTCTCTGTAGTCTTAGAGTTGACATTATAGTAGGGAATACAAGCAATAACAACAAAACCACAAAGACTTAATTTAAAAATGTCAAGAAATGCTATGAAAGGAACAAAAACATATTTGAACTGAGAACTTATATGCATAAGAAAAGTCATTCACACCTCCAATAACAGAAACTTCTCCAAAACAATATTTTAAATATATTTCTGTCACATGAAAGAAATCTGGAGGTGGTCATTCCAGGGTAGATGCAGTGTTTCTATGATGTTGTCACTGAACTAAAGGGGTCTGTTTGCCTGTGTGCATCAAAGCCCAGTGAGACATGAATAGGAGTTTGTGGCAAAGAAAGGGTTTATTTTTAGATAGTGGCCCAAGTCTAAAGTCATAGGTGAGGTAAAACTCAGAAACCTAGATTCCCTAATGGCTTCCAGGGAATGGGTTGTATAAGGGGGGAAAATCATTAATTATGGTGACTAAGGGAGTTAGGGTCATGGTCTTTACTGATTGGTCAGTACTAGAGTAGGGGATGGTTGATCAGTGCATCTGGTTTTCTGCTTTACCGGGCCTGAAGCTGAAACATAACTGAAGATTAGATGTTATCTTTACTTTGACTTGATCAAAACTCAACAGACCAGAGGCTTTGCCCCTAAGATTACTTGAACCTCATTATCCTGAGGGCTTAATAATTCAGGAAGTGGACATGCAAGGGAGAAGGAGGCAGGTGAGTCAGGGCTCTGGGAAAGGCCAGTTTGAATCAAAGGGAAGAAAAGGAGAAAAGGTTATACTAAAGAAATGAAGTTTCTGCACAGTTACAATGTCTTTGAAGTATTTTGAGCATTCCAGATGAAATTGAAAATGGAAACAGTGGAGGGAAGGGGATAGGATAGCAATTTTTATCACATAATTAGCCACAAAACCAGGCCAATTACAAACATACTTTTACATAGTACTTATCAAGTGCTTTTACAGTGTCTTAAAAGAACTTCCAAATTAAAAGTCTGCTTAACAGTATTGGGAACAAAGTTACTTTTCCTCCTGAGGTTATCTGGTTTTCTATCTTGCCTAACAGGAACTACAAGAATATTTTATCAGGTTCTTGGTTACTAAATCAAGACTTTTGAAATGTTTTTTCCCTTAAACTGTTAGGATTATTTTTTTTAACATCATATAATTACTGCTTCCCAAAATATCCTGTATGGTTTCAAAAGCTTTTACTGATTCATTTTATTCCCAATACTAGTTCATATTAGGGCCTTTCTCTCCTCACTGAAATGATAGCCTAGAATAGTCATAAAAAGAGACAGAATTGGAATGAATATAGCAACTGAGAAAAAAGGGGAAGCAATCAAGGTATTTTTCAAACAGTTATATTTGAAAGAGTACAGACACAATTATAAAGGGAAAAAAAGGAAAGTGTTGTAAAAAAAAAAAAAAAACAAACAGGAGAGGAAGTTGTACTCAAACAATGAACATCCTCTTGCCTTCTTTCTTTAGCCTTAAATATATACCAGACAAAAAGCCTAAAGAAAAATGAGCCATTAGACCTTTCCCTGATTACTTCTAATTCTAAAAAATAAACACCAATTTATATTTTCTTTTACCACCAAATCAGTGTGAAAGTTTAACTATTGACTTCTAAAACTTATCATAGATTCTCTGCCCAAATAACCCTAGCTTGCCTTTTCTATTTTGTCCCTGGGAGGATTTCAGTTTACTCAGAGATGATCACTCCAATGGTTTACTACAGAATAATATATTTAAGTAGTTAAGTCTAAGAAAATAACACCCAGATTTTTTTTTTCAAATTCAAAAGTAGAAAGATCAACAATAACTTAATTGAGACCAGAATTAAAAAAAACAACAGATCATAGTCCTTCACAGTTGAAGAATATTAAGGCTCTAATGCTTGTGTTTTCATTAGTACTTAAATGTAGAATGGTAAGGACCTTTTAATACAATAAAGCTATTTACCTAAGGGGTATTTTAAAAGCATATCTTAGTTTTTCTATAAAAATGTAGTGTTGTCATTTATAGATAATAAACATTTTAACCTGATGAACAAAAGGATAAATACAGAGCAAAAGAAACCAACAAAACAACAAGAAAGCCCACTGCATGGGAGAACATATTTGCCAATGTTATCACGGATAAGGGCTTAATCTCCAACATTTATAGGGAACTTATACAACTTACCAAAATGAAGATAAACAGCCCAATAAAAAAATGGGCAATGAACCTAAATAAATAATTTTTCAAAGACGGAAGGTTAAGAGAAATATGAAAACATGCTCAAAGTCACTAATCATCTGAGAGATGCAAAACAAAACGACAATGAGGTACCATCTCATACCTGTCAGAATGGCTATCAACAAATCAACAAATGACAAGTGCTGGTGAGGATGCAGAGAAAAGAAAACCCTCATGCACTACTGGTGGGAATGCAGACTGGTGCAGCCAGTGTGGGGAACAGTATGGAGTTTTCTCAAAATAAAAATGGAACTCCCATTTGACCCAGTGATTCCACTTCTAGGAATATATCCCAAGAAACCAGAAACATCAATCAGAAAGGATATATGTACCCCTATGTTCATAGCAGCACAATTCACCATAGCTAAGTTTTTCTAACAGCCTAAGTGCCCATCAGCAGATGAGTGGATTAAAAAACTGTGGTACCTCTACACAAGGGAATACTATGCTGATATAAAAGAGAAAGGAATTCTTACCATTTGCAGCAGCATGGCTAGACTTGGAGAGCATTATGTAAAGTTAAATAAGCCAGGCAACGAAAGAAAAATATAGCATGATTTCACTCATTTATGGAAAATAAAGAACATCATAATTTTATGAACCAAAAGATAGATACAGAGGCAGTAAAGCACCAAAAAGACTGTCACATTACAGCAGGACGACTGGGAAGTGTTGGGGAGGGTGTGAAAGAGATCAACCAAAAGACCTTTATGCATGCATATAAGCACAACAAATGGACACAAGACACACAAGGATGGCGGGATGAGGGCATGCAACTGGGAGAGGGAACGCTGGGGAACGGTCAATGAGGGGAAAAGGAGATATATGTACTACTACATGTAATACTTCAAACAATAAAAAAATAAAAAATAAAAATAAATTAAAAAAAGATAAACACAGAGGCAGAGAAGCATTGAACAGATTGTCAAATTATAGCTGGAAAGCTGGTGAGGGTGTGAGGAGGAGGTAAGATACTAACCAAAAGACTTGTATACAGTATAACCAATGGAAGCAAGGCTTGGATGGGGGTTGGGTGATGGCATGTTGCAGGGGTAGGGGCTTCTGAGGGTAGGTCATTAGGAATAAATGGAGACATATGTACAACTATTTATAATACTTTAAACAATAAAATAAAATTTTTTAAATGTAGTGTCTCTTTAACAATATATATTGAAACTAGATGCACGGTGCATGGATTCGTGCACCAGTGGGGTCCCTTGGCCTGGCCTGAGCCATCTTGCAGTCTGGAACCCTTCGTGGGATGTCATAGAGCCAGTTTTGACCTGATCCCAAAGGTGCACAAATCCATGCACTGGGTCTCTAGTAAATAAAAAGTATATAAAAGGCTGTTCAACTTTACCCAAATCGTATAAGATATTTATTAATCTCTTCCTGTCTTGCCCCCTGCCCCCCTTCCCTCTGAGATTCATCAGTCTGTTCAATGTTTCTATGCCTGTACATTGAGCGTCGGCCCCCTGGTGGTCAGTATGCATCATAGCTAATGGTCACTTAGGCTTTTATATATGTAGATTAAAATATATGCTGGCAACTCATGAGGGGGTTATAGAAATTTACTTCATTATAGGAGCTTGATTTTATAGTTTTGTTGTTTTTTTGTCCTTCTAGGGATATGAGGATTGGCTGAGACACAGAGCTGATAATGAAGTCAATAAGAGAAATGTTTACATTATTGAAAATGCAAAGCGAGTTAGAAAAGAGAGTGAAAAGATCAAGGTATTATTTTTTATTTATTCTTTATTGTTAAAAAAATACACATTTTTCCTTTATGCTTCATTATGATAAAAAATAAACTTTAAAAAAATTCTCATTCAAGGACAAGTTTTCATTGATTTGAGAGAGAGAGAGTGAAACATCCACTGGTTTCCTCCCACACACCCCCCAACTGGAGTCTTATCCCACAGCCTAGGTATGTGCTCTGACCAGAAACTGAACCACAGCCCTTCAGTTCATGGGACAACACTTCAACCAGCTCAGCCACACCAGCCAAGGCTGCACATCATTTTTAAATGGACACAATTGATTCAGTGGCATTTAGTGCATTCACAATTTTGTGCAACCGTTGATGCTGTCTAATTTCAGAACATTTTCATCACCCCAGAAGGAAACTCCCATAAGCTATTAAGCAGTCATGATTCATTCCTCTCTCCCCCAAACCTTGGCAACCACTAATCTTTCTGTTTCTATGGATTTACCTGTTCTAGATATTTCGTTTGAAAGGAATCATACACTGTGTGACCTTTTGTGTCTGGCTTCTCACTTAATGTAATATTCCTGAGGTTCATTCATGTTGTAATATGTATTAATACTTTATTAGTTTTTACAGCTGAATAACATTTTATTTTATGACTATACCTCAGTTTGTTTATCCATTCATAAGTTGATGGAAGTTAGTTTTTTTTTTCCCCTATCTTTTGGCTATTATGAATACTGCTATTATGAACATTTCATGTGCAAGATTTTGTTTGAACACCTGTTTTCAATTCTTTTGGGTATATACCTAGGAGTAGAATTGCTAGGTGATAGAATATTCTATGTTTAAATTTTTCATGAATTACAAACTGTTTTCCACAGCAGTTTTTACCATTTTACATTATATGAGCAATGCATAATATATTTTTGTTGCCAACAGATTTTATTTTAATTAATTATTAACTTTAGTTTTTAGAGCAGTCTTAGGTTCACAGCAAAACTGAGCAAAAACTACAGAGTTCACATATACCCCATTTCCCCACAGGTACAACGTCCCTTGTTACCAATATCCCCCACCAGATTGGTACATTTGTTATGATCAATGAAACTACATTGATATATAATTATTATCCAAAATTTATAGTTTACATTATTAAGATTCACTCTTGGTATTGTACATTCTATGTACCTGAACAAATGTATAAATGACACGTATGCACCATTATATTACTATACTGAATTGTTAAACTGTCCTGAACATCCTCTGTACTCTGCCTATTCATCTCTCCCACCATCCCTTCAACCTGGAACAACCACTAATTTTTTTTACAGTTTCCACAGTTTTGCCTTTACCATAATTTCATATAATTAGAATCATACAGGATATAACTTTTTCATATTGATTTCTTTCACCTAGTAATATGCATTTATGTTTCCTTCATGTCTTTTCATGGCTTGAGAGTTCATTTTTCTTTACTTCTAAATAATACTACATTGTCTATATGTAGTAATTTTATTGATTCACTTACTGAAAGATATCTTGTTTGCTTCCACGTTTTGGTAATTATGAATAAAGCTGCTATAAACTTGTATGTGGAGGTTTTTGTGTGTACATAAGATTTTAATGCATTTGGGTAAATACCAAGTGTGACTACTGGATTGTATATTAAGAATTTGTTTAATCTTATAAGAAACTACCATGCTATCTTCAAAGTGGCTATTCCATTTTGCATTCTCATCAGCATTGAATAAGAATTCCTGTTACTCCACATCAGCATTTGTTGTTGGTCTTGTGGATTTTGACAGTTTAATAGGTGTGTACTGGAATCTCTCTTTTGTTTTAATTTGCAATTCTCTAATTACATATGTTGTTGAACATCTTTTCATATTCTTCTCATCTTAATATCCTCTTTGTGAGCTGAATGTTTGGGTATTTTGCCTATTTTTAAATCAGATTGTTCATGTTCTTATTGGTGAGTTTTAACAATTTTTGTTTATTTTGGATAGCAGTCCTTTATCAGATGTGCTTTTTACAAATATTTTATCATAGTCTCAAGGTGTTATTTTTTTTTAAAAAAATATGTATTTTATTGATTTTTTACAGAGAGGAAGGGAGAGGAATAGAGAGCTAGAAACATCGATGAGAGAGAAACATCGACCAGCTGCCTCTTTTACACCTCCTACTGGGGATGTGCCCGCAACCCAGGTACTTGCCCTTGACCAGAATCGAACCCGGGATCTTTCAGTCCGCAGGCCGATGCTCTATCCACTGAGCCAAACTGGTTTCGGCTCTAAAACATTTTCATCCTATAACACTGAAACTCTGTAACCACTAAACACTAATTCCTCCTTCCCTCCATCCTTTGACGGACACCTTTCTATTTTCTGTTTTTATGATTAACGAGAGAGATACTTCCTATAAGTGGGATTACACAATATTTGTCCCTTTGTGACTGGCTTATTTCACTTAAGCATGATGTCTTCAAGCTTCATCCATGTGGTAGCATATGACATGATTTTCTCCTTTTTAAGGCTACATGATATCTATTTGTATGCATACAGCATAGTTTCTTAATTAGGTCATCTGTTGATGGACATTTGGGTTGCTTCTACCTCTTGGTTATGTGAATAATGCTATGATGAACACGCATGTATAAATAACTCTTCAAGATTCTGTTTTGACAAAATATGGATGCAACCCACATGCCCATTGATGAGTGTATAAAAAAGTTATGATACACACTTAGATATCCTCACACCTGTCAGAATGGCCATCATCAATAAATCAACAAACAAGTGTTGGCGAAAATGTAGAGAAAATGGAACTCTTGTGCACTTTTGGTAGGAATGCAGGTTGGTGCACCCACTGTAGAAAACAGTATGGAGGTTACTAAAAAAAAATTAAAAAATGTACTGCCTTATGACCCAGCAATTCCACTTCTGGGTACCTATCTGAAGAAACCCAAAATACTAATTCAGAAGAATATATGGACTCCTATGTTGATTACAGTATTATTTACATTACTAAAGATATGGAACCAACCCAAGTGTCCATTAATAAGTAAGTAGATAAAGAAGCAGTGGTACATATATACAATGGAATATTCCTCAGCAATAAAGAGAACAAAATCTTAACATTTTCGACAGCATGGATAGACCTAGAGGGTATTATCCTAAGTGAATTAAGTTAGTCAGTGAAAGACAAATACCATATGATTTCAATTGTACATGGAACCTAAAGAACTAACCATATGAGTAAACAATATTAAAACAGACTCATAGACATAGCAGATTGGTGGATACCATAGGGAAGGATGATTGGGGGACTGAGTAAAAGAGTTTTTAAGAAGTACAAATTGGTAGTTACAAAATAGTCATGGAGATGAAAAGTACAGCATAGGGAATCCTATCTAATAAAGGGAATATGCTAATTGACCATCACTCTGTCACAAAGATGTCTGCACTCACACTTGAAGCCAAGTTCCCCTAAGGAGCCTCACTGAGCAATCAGCAGGGACCTGAGGCTATGCCCTCCCCCACTCCCATAGGGCTTGACAGGGGACCTCAGGCCGTGTCTCCTTCCCTGGCATAAGGCTGGGGGACCTGAGGCCATGCCTCCAAACCAGCAGGGCTTGATGGGAACTTCAGGCCTCGCCCCTTACCCCAGCACCAGGCCAGGGGACCTCAGGCCACAGCCTCCGCCTGGCGGGGACTTGACTGGGGACCTCAAGGTAAGCTTCTCATCCTGGTGCTGGGCTAGGGGATCTCACGCTGCTCCCCCCACCCCAACACCAGGCCGGGGGACCTCAGGCCATACCCCCCACCAGGTGGGGCTTGACAGGGGATTTCAGGCCATACCTGCCACCCTAGCACCAGCCGGAGGACCTGAGGCTATGCCCCTCTGCCTGGCGGGGCTTGACAGGGGTCCTCAAGCCATGCCTCCCACCCAGCAGGGCTTGACAGGAGACCCCAAGGTGCAACCCAAGTGCTAAGTTGCGGGAACTCAGGCCGTTGCCCCATGCTTGATGGGGACCTGAGACTGCGCCCCCCTCCCAATGCTAGGCTGGGGGACCTGAGGCTGTGTCCCCCCCAACTGGTGGGGCTTGACGGGGGACCACAGGCCATGCCCCCTACCCAGCGGGGCTTGAAGGGATCTCAGGCTGTCCCCCACCTCGTGGGCCTTGACAGGGGATTTTAGGGCACATCCTCCCCAACTCCATCTGAAGGACTTCAGGCCATGCCCCCATCCTGGTGCCAGGCCAGGGGACCTGAGGCTATAACCCTTGCCCAGTGGGGCTTGATAAGGGTGGGACTGGCCAGGTCTGGATCTAGCCCAATGGGGTGGGATGGCCAGGTCTGGGTTTCACATGATTTTGAGGTGCATGTGGGTGGGCGGGGACTTGACTCTGGGTTCCCCTTTTAATGTGCACGAATTTAGTGCGCTGGGCCACTAGCATAGTCAATAAAATTGTGACAAATGTATGGTCCCAGGTGGGTACTGGAAATTTAGGGGAGGGGGGAATTTGTCAAGTATATGATTGTCTAACTACTATGTTATATCCCTGAAACCAATGCAAAATAATATTGAAAGTAAACTGAAATAGAAAAATAAAATTGTTTTTAACAAAAGATTCTGCTTTGAATGGTTTAGGACTATCAAGTGTTACCACTGATGAATCATTTATTAAATACCTAGAATGTCTGTATATAGGTTCTCCATATCCCTAGTGATAGGTAAATTGTCCTTGCATCTTATAGTCATGATGGGACAAAGGTTACCACATAGGAGGATTACCTGAGTTTGACATAGAATGTCTTTCTTTTACTCTTCCCCCCCCCCCTCCATTCTTTGTATCCCAGTAGGGATAACCCTTGGATGAACTAGAATGTTAGGATCTGAATTTCTAAACCAGTTGTAGAAACTCGGCATTACTGTTCAGCATAAGAACCAAAGCATCCTAAATGATTCATAAAATTAAATCTGTGGCTCACAGAACATGTAGTAAAAGGCTCCCATTCATCTT